ATTTTTATTGCAAAAAAAATGTTCAAAGAGAGAACAAGAGGAAAGGAGATAATTATTTGGAGTATTGGATTTTTGGAATCTCATTTTAAAGTCTTGTTCAAGGAATCCCCCTAAGCTCGTACTTTATAAAAATAGCATAATAATAATAGTCTTAAGAAATTAAGAATTAGTTTTTATACTATTTTATGCTTCCTAAAAGATTGGGATATTCTGTCTATATGACAATTGGTAACTTCAGAATCTTTCTCAGCACTATCAGATCAAGGAACCATTTCCCCTGTACCTAGCAGTCATTTGTGAACAATGTTTTGTGTTAAAATGTAAATGCTAAAATTCCCTTAGGATTGAATATGTAATAATACATTTAAATCTTGAGACATTGTTATCATGGTTTCTTTGCTCAATGGAAAAAAAATGATCTAGAAATCAAATTTTTATATTCTGGGTACATAATAATATATAGGTCTTCCAAAGCTAATGCATTGTGTATCTATAAGATTTTTTATTTTGGTATTTCATCCTCAGTAATATTTTTTTCCATTGTTCTTTGGATTTGTTAAGAAGTCATGTGTGAAATTAAATTTAAGTGGGAAAGTATTTGTTACTGGGAGGCCTTTAAGTTTTTCAGAAGATATTTCACTTATTAGTATAGTTTAATTCCCAGTGGTTTCAGCTAATTAATAATTATGGCACTTGAGCTATGTGGAGTGAACCAAGGGGAGCAGAGTAAAAGATGAGGTCAGCAAGTTGGGTGTATTCAGAGAGATCGCTTGTGGCCTTCTAGATCATTATAAAGACTAGCTTTTACTTAGAGTGAGGTAAAGAGCCACTGGAAGATTGTAAGCAGAGGACTGGTATCTCTAACTTATTTTAGTAGGATCGCTCTGCTGCTATGTGCCTAGACTCTAATTGGATTATGCTAGAAGTAAGGAGGCTGAATAGAAAGCTGATGGTATTACCCAGTGGAGAGAGGATGGTGGCTTAGACCAGGGTGATGCCAGTACATGTGGTAAGAAGTAATTGGATTCTGGAGTTAGAGCCAATAGAAATAGTCTGATGCAGTGAGCAGAGTGTGTGAGAGAAAGATAGCAATCAAGAAAGACTTTCAAAGTGTTTGACATGAGTTGCCGTTAATAGCAATAGGAAATTCCGCAGAGTAGGTTTTCGGAGGAAAACTAGGAGCTCAGTTTTGGACATGATGCACATGAGATGTCTCGTATATCCATATGATGATGTCAAGTAGGAAGTTAGCTTATGAGAGTCTGGAGTTTAGCAAAGAAGACTGAGCTGGAGATATAACTGGGGAGTTGTCAGTGCTTGAATGTTATTTAAAGCTGCAAGAGTGCATGAGATCACCAAAGGAATGAGTATAGCTAATGAAGAAAAGAGGTCTAAGGACACAGTCCTGGAGCATTCCCATGTTAAGAAAAGGAGGAGCAACTGGGAAAGAAGACTGAAGAGTGACAGTGAGCTAGGTACCTAGGTGCCCTGGATACCAAGGGGGAAAACATTTCAAGAAGGAAGATGTGATCGGCTATGTTAAATAATGCTGATAGGTAAAGTAAGAAGAGGACTGATAAGTGACCAATAAGAAGCAACTTCTTATTGGTGCGTAAGATACTTCATAAGGTAATAATAAGTAATAATCACCGTCTGTTGAGCTTTTTCTATGTGATACTGTATTAGGTGCTTTATAGAGTTATCTTTAATCTATAAAATAGTCTTGTATGTTAGGAATTCTCATTTTAACGGATATTGGAAGCCAAGGCTCAGAGACATTAAGAAAATAGTCCAAAGCCACATACCTTGTAAATTTTACAAAGCAAGAATACAAACCCAAGACTTAAAAGCCTTTACTCATTTCCTTATATTATGCTGCCTGGACTTAGTGTTAATGTTGTGTCCACAGTTTTATAATAGAGTTGTCAATTGTCACTGTTTTAGGTATGCATGTATGTGTAGGATAAGTTAAAGCCGTCTTAAATGCTTTGCACTATGCTGCAAGTCTATATCATAAAAGACAAAGATAGATTTATATGTTTGTTTTTTCTTATGGCCTGATTTCAAACAGAAAATTTTTAATTAGAGGATTTCTTTAAGTAAGGATTATTTTTTCTGTAAACATTTTACAATGTGAAAATATTAGTAATAACATTTCCCTTACAGCAGAATAATACATAGATTTTTAGAGTTTTTGTGTTTGCAGTTGTTTAATACTTTATCGTTCTATGTGTTTGACTTTTTAAATATTCTCAACAAAAATATCTGTTTTAAAAGTAAATCTGAGGTATATAACCAGGCACTGATTTCTGTCCTGTGTATAATGTTGTCTTAAATGCTTGATTCCTGTGTTTACTAGTTTACAGCCACCATGAAATTATCAAGTAACATGTTTGAGTATTTTACAAATGGATCTGCTTTATTTTTTTCAAAACCCAAATTACACTCTGTTAATTATCCTAGCATTTAGCAAATTACTTTTATCATTGCTTTGCCATTTGGCAATTGAAGTGTAAAGTTGGCACGATGTGGTAACTATTCACTAAATTTAGTCCTAGACCACATGATTTTAATTGCTTTGCATCAGAAGATAGCATTTGGTGTATAATGTTTAGTTGTAAATTTTTTTCTAGAGGAAAAATCTCTGGGCTCTTAGTAGTGTAAGCTTGTTTAAATCATCCGCTGTTCTCAATTTGTACTTTTTCTTTTTGCTTTCTACCATTTCCTCAGATTTATTGCATGCATTTTACAAAGTTTTTATGTGCCTTCTAGTGATACTATTCAGTTTGCATAATTAGCATCCACATGAAAATGACTCCTTGGAAAGTCTCATCTAGATTGTTCTGCACTCACTCTCCCTGTGAATTCATCCACTCTCCTAGCTCAGCTACCTCTGCTTAGATGCCGCTGCCATTTGCTAAGTGATGTTGTCATTGTCTCTGCTGGATTAGTCCTGTCTTTTATTCAGGTCTTCCTGTCATCAGGTTTGCCCTCCCTCTCTACTTTATTCTCTGTAGAATAGCTAGAGTGATCTTTCCGCTTCAAGTCCTTCCGGGCTTCCCCAGTGTTCTTTAGAGTCTCCTCCAATCTCATGCTCTCCGCCTAGCCACTGAAATTTTGTTGTTCCTCAACTATACCATGTCCACTGGGTATTGATATGTGCTCTGGTCCCACTTAACAAAGCTTAAAAGCAAGCTTTGAAAGCAACTAATGTCTATATAATTGGAGTCATCCCCAAAGGAGAGAATGGTGGGAGAGAGGGCAGAAAAAATATTTGAAGAAATAATAGCTGAAAGTTTTCCAAATTTGGTGAAAACTGTAAACAACACATCCAAGAAGTTCAGCAAGCCCCAAGCATACACACAAAAGTTGAAACTATACCAAGGTACATCACAAGCAAATTGCTTAAAGCCAGTGATAAAGAGAGAATATTAAAGTATCCGAGGAGAACCACATGTACAAAGGAACAAAGATAAGGATGTTGGCAGACGTCTAGCCTGAAACAATGCAAGCCAGAAGATAGTGAAGCAACGTCGTCAAAATGTTGAAGTAAAGGGAACACAAGTCCTGAAAATAACTTGATATTCTGTGGAGGTATTATTTGCAATAACCTTTGATGTGTATCAGAAAGCAGAAACTTGGATGGGCACGTTGTTTGATGATACAAAAATTTTAATGATCTATTTTTATATGACATTTTCCATTTTATAAGTGTTTATATGTGGGAAAAAACTTTATTTTCACACATTTTTGAGATAGCTAGGATAGTTGATTTTATCTCTATTTTACATGTGAAGAAGCTGAAATACATAGGTAACGTGACTTTTTCAAACTCATCATCAAGTTTCCTGACTTCCTATTCAGGACTCTTCTAATCTGCTTGGTCTCCTCCTTATTCCTGTGTATTGCTCAGAATATTTCCTAAACTTGGAGACTGTCAGAATATGTAAAAATGTATGGAGTGCCTTGAAAGCAGTAATAGGTAATACAGTATTTAGTAATTCTTTTGTATCTTGACATTTGGAGTATGTAAAGAAAATAAATTGAAATCTTATTAAATCTCAAAGCCCAAATAGAAGACAGGAAAAATGAGAGTGCATTAAAGTATATTAGACCCTGTGTGAAAAGCTGTTATAGTAGTTAACTTTAAGTAAATGAGCAAAGGTGGAAAAATTGCTATGGTTGCAGAGAAGCTTGTAATTAAAATAGTTATTTCTGATTTTTTAAAAAAAGGTGAGAAGTTTGATTATTTTAATTACCATATTAAATTTGACCAAAGAGCCTTTTAATAACTTAGTTGAAATTAAAATGTGGCAGAAATTAGTTGGGAAGAAACTGTATTTTCTCTTGTATTTGTACTGCATATGTAGTGCATAGAATAGAAGAGTTAAATACTATCTTGGCATATGTCATTGTATCCAGTGTAGGAAATTAGTTTTGACTCATTGCTAGCAGCCACATGGAATGAATATGGTCCATTGTCCTTTTTGTTTCCACTAAAGTTTCTTCAAATATTCTTTAGAGATGCTTTTCAATCTTTCCTATTAAAGAGAAATTTTGAGAGCTAGCTCTTTAGGTCAGGCTTTGTGATAGAATTGGGATTAAAGTTAGAACTTGAAAGGTAATCAGGACTTAAGTAGGATAGGAAAACTGTTTTCAGTTATGAGAAATATGAGCCCTGACATGTCTTCTCAGAACTGTGAGAGTGGTTCATTATGGAAAGAAGTAAGAAATAATTTAGAGTGGGTAGGGTAGGACTGGATGACTGAAGGCCTTGAAAAACACAGGAGAAATAGGTGGATGGCACTGAAGTTAGAATTTACTCCTGAGGTGAGCGAATTGTCTCTCATCCAAGTATGTAATGTGAATTTTTGGCATTTCAACTCATTATTTTCTGTGTATGTTAACATTCATTGTGTTTAAACCTAAATAAATACTGATTAAATGGTAAAGCAAGAATTGTTTACCTGAAGAAGGGGGCGTGTTTTTCTCTTTTCTAGTCTACTCCTTTACACCTGGCCGCAGGCTACAACAGAGTTCGGATAGTTCAGCTTCTTCTGCAGCATGGTGCTGATGTTCATGCTAAAGACAAAGGGTAGGCGTATTGCTTTCTTCCCTTGGATGGTTTTGCTCATGGGTTATTATGCTTTATTTTCAACATCTGATTCACTAAGGTTTTTGAGCACTAGACAACGAAAGTCGTGTATCCCATATCTTTACAGCCTGTGTAGCATTTTAAGAATGTTCACAACTTTGATTTGACTTCATGTTCATGTTTCTACTTATTAAGGATTCTTCTCATAATAATTTCCTAAATTAGTTTAATTTTATTACAGTTCTGTTATTTGAGGTTAAAATGTTTCTCTCAATTACAATTCTTATTTCTCACCTTTTCAGTTGCATTTCAGAAAGATAGAGAAGTTGAAAATTCTGATAATCCAGTAACATAGCTATCATAGTCTTCAGATATGAAAGGATCATCTCTTATTAATAACCAAAATCATAAGTATACAATAATCTAATTTGGGTTTTTTTCCTGATGAAATCTTGGATATCTAAACTGAGAAAACCTAAAAGGTCCTTTTGAAGGTTGATATGGGAGGAGGTTGGCTGAGAACAAGAAAGCAGTTGTCATTTATTTTATGAATAGCTGAATTTTGGAAAACTTGGTACCAGTTTCCTGTCTAGTCTCTAGGGACATATGAGTCAGGTCTGCTTTCCTATGTGATGGCTAACATTTGTCAGTATCCCACCTTAAGACCTCAAAGATAATTGACCTTACTACCCAAGTGAGGCAGATTCATATGCACTCTGGTGATTGGCAGTGTGAAGAAGAGAAGCCCTGGAGGAGGGTTTCTTTCACTTTGCCCCCTCTCCATGTCAGAAAACGTAGAAACGAAGAAAGAGCTCTGTACTTGAGGCAATTCTCAGGAGAGGAATCATTTCAAATCTGCTCTTTTCGGTGCTGTGTTTCTCTCTTGCCTGCGCCAGGTTTTGTGCCATGTGTGAATGTGTCCCAGTAGCACAGGGGCACACATGCCTGATGTTCTTGCACATCTTTGTTTCCTTGTGCATGTCTGAAAACAGATGGGTGTACAATAGGTGAGTCATCAAGAGAAGGACACCACAAAAAGAGGGGGTCTTGTAGAATGATACTTTGATATGCAAGTTGTAACAGTTTGGATACTTAACTCTTGTGCTGGAAGTTACCATGAAAGTGAAATAAAATGGTAGGAATATTTCACTTCACTATCAACATGTATTTTCTATAAATAATAAAGCATGCAATTGTCAATAGTACGTATTTCTTCCTTTCACCTAAATGTTTTTCTAACTTGTGTTTTTATCATTATATTTAAGGATTATATACACAAAACGCAAGATAAATATAAAAGGTTGAACTTTAGTTATGCTACATATCCTTTTATTAAATACTTTTAAATATTTTTTATTAAAATTGTACTGGGATGTTTTAGATTTTTGTTTCTTAACACTTTTTGGCATAGAAATGGCCACAAGTTGTTTGAAATTTCAGTATTTTAATTTGCCTTTTTTCATTTAGTGGACTTGTACCTCTTCATAATGCATGTTCGTATGGACATTATGAAGTTACAGAACTGCTACTAAAGGTAAGAGAAATTAAAGATATTGAACATCATTGCTTCTTTTGCACTTGTCATGAGTTTTCCTGGGTTTTTTTTTGGGCCAGTAAGATTTATAAGAGAATAAAATAGTTTTTAAAAATACTTCTGTTGCCTTAAAAATTTTGAAACAGTTTAAGCTGTTTTTAAAAGCTGAAATTAAAACACTTATTGACATTTCAAAGAGTTGTAACTGAAGTTTACAGTGAAATAAATGTCTTCTGAGTTTTATTTAATCCAGCGAAATGCTTACTAACCTAAAACTTTTTTTCTCAATTTAGCATGGAGCTTGTGTTAATGCCATGGATCTCTGGCAGTTTACTCCACTCCATGAGGCTGCTTCCAAGAATCGTGTAGAAGTCTGCTCTTTGTTACTTAGCCATGGTGCCGATCCTACATTAGTCAACTGCCATGGCAAAAGTGCTGTGGATATGGCTCCAACGCCTGAGCTCCGGGAGAGACTGACTTGTACGTGTTTATATCCCAAAATCACTACTGCTTGTTGTAGATTGGAATGTCTCACTTTTGTTTAGTTCTTAGGGCTGCCATTTTGCCTAACTTAGATAATGTCCTTCTAATCTTACATGTACGATGGTTTATGATCCTTATTTCTGATCATCTACTTTTCTTCATGAATCCCACAGAATCTATATACACTATATGCATTTTGTGTTTATTTAAGCCTAATTCTAATTATGTACTGTTTCCTTTTTTTAAAAGCTAATGAGGATGAGTCAATCAATAACCATTTATTGAATACCTGCTGTGTGCCAGGCACTGGAAATATAGCAGTATGCAAACCAGAAAAAAATCTCTGAGCTCACGGAGATTTCTTCTTGTGCTGTTGGTAATAGTAGATAATATCTGACATTATTGAGCGCCTACTGTTTCCCAATCCCTGCAAGGTTGCATAATCATATTTTTATTTCTTGTGTGTCTTAGGGCCCAAGTGTACTCACTTGCCCAAATTATGGTTTGGTGGAAGTAATCTTCTCAAATACAGATACATATATATATATATATATATGCATGTTTTTAAAATAAACTTTTTGTTTTAGAATAGTTTTAGATTTACACAATAGTTACAAAGGTAGGACAGAGACTTCTCATATACCCCATTCCCAGTTTCTCCTACTATTAATATCTTACATTAGTATGGACATTTGTCACAATTAATGAACCAATATTGATACATTATTAACTAAAGGCCGTACTCTATTCAGATTGCCTTAGTTTTTACCTGAAGTCCTTTTTCTGTTCCAGGATCTCATTCAGGATGCCAACTTTACATTTAGTTGTCATATCAAATACTGAGATATATTTAATTCTGCATGTGGGCATTTCAGGTTTAAATTAAAGTAGATGTTACCTACCTAATTTTTCACTGATCCTATTTTAAGAGTCTTTACATCTAGGATTGAGAGTCCGATAACTGAATTTAAATGCCTGAGAAAATCTTTAAATGATAACTTTAGAAAAAGGCATAGTCAAAGTGATACTAACGTCATTTAAGTTTAAACAGATTTTAAACTAGTTTATGTTAAAACAGGAAGAATTCCTTGCAATTTTGATCTTAAGAGGAAATTTAAATTTATTTTGGTACTGGAACAGATGACATCCACTAGATAACAGGCCAGCACAAACCAGATTATAACTGGGCAGATGTCTTAGCAATGAATCCTTGTAGAAGTGCATTTATTCTCTCTCCCACTCATACGACTCTTGCCATATGTTATCTTGCATTATGTAGTTCATTTTTCTCTGTGTGTGTTCTGTCTTCCCAGTGAAATTCAAATTCTTAGAAAGACCTTTGGTTTTATTTTTCTGTCTTCTTAGCACCTGCACAATGCCTTGTTACCTAATAAATGTGTCGGTGGCGTTTGTTTGGGCCTATATATCTACCTAATCCCAATTTAGCCCAGTGCATTGTGCATACTGTGTGCTCAGCAAGTTATTGGATTGACTTTAACTTAACTCAAAACTTATTTTTTTATCTTTTTCTAATTTCCTTCTTTTGTAGTTTTATACCCTGGGCTCAGCTTTGTCCCCGTGTTACCATTTGACTGTATTTTCCTTATAATTGTTTGGCAAAGCTTGAGTATTAATGAGTTTTTACATTGTGTTTTGCTCATCTGTCTGATTCCAATGTAAACATTAAGATTTAACCTAAATTTGTATAGTTTTGTAAAGGAAGAAGTTCCCTAATTAGAGTACTTTTCAACCTTGTCAGTATCTCCTTTATTTTTTTAAATAAGATTCTAGCAAGGAATTATCTGAAGAAAAGGATTTAACCAAGTTGTCACTTCTCTAACTGCAGTCTCATCGTCATGTCCACCGCTTTAGTCTAGGCGTTCACGGTTACAGAATGCTTTTTAGAAAATTATTCAGGAAACAAAGAAAAACAATATTTTGATCCTACCCAGGGTAATAGCGTTTTCATTACGCACATTTTTTTCTGCTCTTTCTTATCTTCTTTTAATTTGTTGTTTTCATGAAGCCAAACAAACAAGGTAGTTTGGGTACTGCACGTATTGGAGCTGAAAATACTTAAATTAGCTTTCATTCTTATTTCAAAATGCTTTTAGAAAGAGAAACGTTTAAGGCATTTTATAAATATTAAGTTTTCAGGGTAAGTTTGAGTAATTTGCAGTCTTACCACTTTCTTTGTAACTACTTAGCTTCTTTGAAGTTTTAAAAATAAATCTTTATATAACTTTTGCATTTAGAAGGACAATTATTTAGTTGATAGATTTTCTATCTTCTGGTTTGTTTTTTTAATCTTGAGTATTTGTCAGTAAAATATTTTAAATTTGAAAATCAATTTGGACAGAAATCTTTACTTTTTTGCTAAAGAGCAAAGGTAAAGAGTATTTTACTTCTTGTTCTTTGAGAAAATATTATGCTGTTTAATTGCATTGTTGTCATCATTTCTTTATTTCCTTCATACCACAGTCTTATTATGTTTTTCATAAATTTCCCCATTTAATTTTCTTATGAGCCACCTTTCCTGAACTTAAAATTGCTTTTATCATTTTAATAATCATGACACACTTGTCATCAGAGAAAAGACCAATATGATTTGAATTCAGTTTAAATTTCTCTAGACTGATGACCCAAGCAAAGCAGTACTTTTTGCTTGAAATCTGTTCTCGGTGCATCACCTTCTTTTGCAGTTGCCAGGATCCTGCTCCTCCCATCTGGCAGTTTATCATTCTCTCACTTCTTTTATCCCTAATTTTATCATTAAAATGAAAATATGTAATTTTGTTATTTCAAAATACTGGCTTACTTTCATTTCATTTTGACCTTGATTTGAGGTTTCTGAAATTTCAAAGTCCTAAACTTTGAGGAATTTAGCACTGATAAAGTACCACTAAACAAGAGGTTACAGAAAAATGGTTTTTGTCCTGAACCTGCCATGACTTATTTTATAAATATTCCCCATTCATGCAACAAATACCTACTATACAAGTACCTACTATATGCCAAATACTGTGCTAGGTGATGGGGCTGCCATAGCAAGTAAGACAGTGTGCCATAGCCTGTGATATAAGGCTAAATGCAAGTGTGGGTGACTTCATAAGAAGGATCCCTAACCCAGTAATGGGGAACATCAGGAAGGCTTATCCGAAGTATCTAAACTGAGACCTTGAACAATGAGTGAAAAAAGCATGTGTGTATGTGCACATATGTGTCTCTGTGTGTTTCTCTCTGTCTTTTGAGGGAGAGAAGGGAGTGAGATGGGACCCTCGAAGGTAAGGAGAGAGAGGAAAAGGGAAGGAATTCAGTAGGAGGCAGGTACAAAGGCCTGAATGTGAGTGGGCCTGGAATTGGTACATAGTATAGTAGGTCACACATCATTTGCATCTTTTTAGAACAATTTTCAACTTTTTGTTAATAATTGGTTATATCAAAATACAAACTAAATTTGTAACATAGAAACTAAGATTATATGTTTTTAATAAATAAGAGTATTGGATTTGTATTTATGCAATTGATTTGGAAATACCTTTTTAAAAACTCTCTTACTTGCTTATGCAAATAACAAATAGTTCTTTGAAAAATTTTCAAACTCTGGCACTTACCCCATAATTCACTTCTTCCCTCCTCTGTGTCAAGATATAATCACTATTAGTATTTTGATGAGTATGTCTCTAAATGTCTTTTTTAACCATTACTTATATTTAGTTGTGGTGGCAATAGTAGTAGTAACAAATTGGATCAACCTATGCTTCCTCTTCTGCTGCTTGAATTTTCATTTAATAACATATACTTTCATGTCAGTATATATAGATCTATCTTTTTTGTTTAAGGGCTATAAAGTATTCTAAAGTGTATAAGTGTTCACAGATTATTTAACTGGTTTCCATTTGGTAGACATTTAGGTTGCTTTTTTTAAAACTTTGCTGGATTGAGTATCTCCGTGTGTATATCTCTATGAACTCTTAAAAGTATAAAACAATCTTATTTCAGAGCATACATTTGTCAAAATTTTTTATTAACCTACATGCTCATTCTTTGCACCTTTATTATCATATCATCATGTTGCTGCTGTTGCTAAAATAGAGGAATATTTAAAATTAATAATTTTCTTTATAATCATTGCTAATGATTATTAAATATTTTAAATCTTTTTTATGTCAACCATTATTTCATTAACAGATGAGTTTAAAGGTCATTCTTTACTACAAGCAGCCAGAGAAGCAGACCTAGCCAAAGTTAAAAAAACACTTGCTTTGGAAATCATTAATTTCAAACAGCCACAGTCTCATGAAACTGCCCTGGTAAGATTTTATTGTTAATCCATGCCTTGGATAACAGTAGTATAAGCACAAAATATGATTTTCATTTCAGAAACCTTAAAGTAACTTTAGTATCTGAAGCGCTGGAAATTTGCATTTTAATATTGGTTGCAGTGATTTCTAAATTTGGTTTGGGAGATGATTGCTTTTATGGGTGAGAGAATAGACATTTGTTCAACCTTTATTTGGGTATTATTTTTACCTTTGTCTTTCCCCAACCATATTATAACAAATCTACCTTTGGGGCCAGGGCTTTCATAGAATACAAGATGTGATTTTTCTCTATAGAATCTTCTTTTTCCTGTGGCTGCTAGATAAATACTAGAGTTGTTTTCTGTAGAAGATTAAAATGTTTTCAAAAATATTTGTATCATCCTTTTGAGCAATTGTCTTCAAAGAATGCATTCATTACGTTATTACAATCATTATAGAAGAATGGTAAGATTATGATTTTTTTTGTTCAGACTATACAAGTTGTTTTTAAAACTGTTCGTATTTTTTCTTCTAGTGTACTTCCAGAAAGATTAGTTTGTTTTTCTTGTCATTGACCACACTGAGTTTCAGACGTAGGGCTGGTTAGATTCCTCCTGAATTCAGAATTGAAGCATATGTGATGCCTCGATCAGAGACTCTAAATGTGCTTCAGTTAACACTCTCACATCTGTCTGGCACAGAAAGGTCAAACTGTCGTCAATATCTGCTGAAAACAACATTAAAAGAGTCACCAAATCGAAATGGGTCAATTGTATGTACACTTAAATATATGGCTCTCACACTGGGGTTCAGATACATTCCAGCTGCACAGCATTCACTCAAAGCCACAGAATAAACCTGACCTGCTTTTTTGGAATATTCATTCTATTCATTAAGAAGTAGTTTTTCATTTTTTTAATTTTAATATAAACATAAAATTTCTGAGAATACTTCTCTCTCTGAGCTCTTACGCATCTGTTACATTCTTGCCTGTTCCTGGACGTGGAGACTTATTCTCCTTTGATGCTAGGTGTACCCCTGGGGAGAGTTTGACAAATACTGACTTATGTGGCTGGCAGCCTACTGAAGGATTGAGTTGAAACTTCAGTTACAGGTTTTTGTAGCTTTGGAGAGGCAGTATTCTGATACCTTCAAATAAATAAACATAGTGGATAATTATTTCTTGGCTCAAGGAAAAGAAAAGAAGTCTGTCTTAATGCTTAACCAAGAGGATAATTTCACCTTGGTTTAAAGGCTTGTGTTTTGTACTTCCAATGTATTTAGGAGGAATTTTGATCATCTCTGTAGTCTAAAATATATATTTTGAGATAACAGTGTTCTAAACAGCAGATGGTATTTAGTTCAGAAATCTACTTTTAAGTAGAAGTTTATTTTATTAACTTAGTTTCGTTTACTTTACAGCACTGTGCTGTGGCCTCTCTGCACCCCAAACGAAAACAAGTGACAGAATTGTTACTTAGAAAAGGAGCAAATGTTAATGAAAAAAATAAAGAGTAAGTGTAATTGCAGAAGTTATTGTTCAATTCTTAAAGGGAAAATGCAATAAAAGTTGGGAGATTACCTTTACCTTTTCTCCTCTCCACAGTTTCATGACTCCCCTGCATGTGGCAGCAGAAAGAGCTCACAATGATGTCATGGAAGTGCTGCATAAGCATGGAGCAAAGGTAAGACGCACACCTGCAGTAAAGGCCAAACTTGGCATTGAGTAGCGAGCCGCTCTCAAGACTGTTACTTTTCTCTCTGATTTTCCTGAAGAAATTAATTTTATAAAGGACTGTTAACATGTATTTGAATTCATCAGTTCTCCTTTAAAGCTGATTTAAATCTTGTTACTAATAAAAATAATTGCCTGTGTACTTAACTGTCATTCTTCTATAAAATATAAAATGTAGCTACAGTCTTACCATTTGAAATATGTTTCAACTTTACATTGCTTTACATTTGTCCTGGGATTGATCTATTTTGAGAGTCAAGGTCAATGATGGTTTATCAGAAAATAATTTATGAAAATGATAGTCAAAATATCACTACTTATTTTAAAGAATATTTGTATTCCTTCAAACTGATAATGATAATTTCTCAAATAACTTTGACACTAAAGAAACGTGAAATTTTTAACAATCATTTTTATTGGCATTATCTGAATGGCATTATCTGAAACTCTGAATCGCTTGAGGGAGGAAGGAAGGAAACTGGTTGTTTTTCAGAGGTGACTTGTACTGGCAAATTTTTAAATCCTCAAGAGTGTGTATGTTAAAACAGTCGTCTCCAAGAAGGGTGCAGACACTCTATGGAACATACAAGATGAGCCATTGAGTGCAGGAAAAAGTACTGGAATTTTAATCTTTTAAAATAGTGATTTCTTTACGAATAAAGAAATTAAGATCTACTAATATTTAATACACAGATGGTTGCTTACACCCTCATTAGGTCAATGTGTCAGCCTGTCTGAGTCATGTCAGGGCCCAAGTGTTTCTCATCTGTTCTCTTTCAGCAGGTTTTGACATATTGTACTTTGCATGTGTCCAAATGAGTAGATATATGGATATTATCCTATTAACCTTTATAAATACCATTGTTGATAATCAGAGGGAGTGACCATGGCAATCTTATAGCATAAAGAGATTGACTATTTCATGAATTAGTATTTTCAGGAATTGTCTTAATTTCTTGTGCTTTATTTTTTCTTTTATGAAAATTAGACAGTTCAAAATTTGCTGATAGTTCTATGATGACAAATGACTATTACTTGTATGTAGATACTTTTTTAAAAAAAGAAACATAATCACACCCTTAAAGTTACATATTCTAGAATGAATGAGAAAGTAACTGCATTCTTTAAAGAAACTTTAAAAAATGGAGAGGACATTTTGAAAATCGATTTTTAGAATATGTCCACTGTTTCATTTTTGTTGCCAAAAGATGATGTAAATATATCACCCAGTTGTCATTTCTACATAATTAAGACACTTGACAACAATCTTTTAACCTGTTTGAGTCTTTCTGAATTTGTGTTTAAGTGGTTTTTGAACCTATTAAAAGTGTTAATGTAACACCTTCTCATAAGTTTGCAAGAACATCAGAAAGATGCAATTTTACTAGCAGAATTGCAATTAAAACCCTAGCATAATTAGTAAGTTACATTAAATATAAGCACTGTCATTTAGTGTAGACATTATTAACAGGGCACTTTTTCCAGTAACTACATACATATCTGTATGAAATCTTTTTATCTAATGCGGCCAATGGGACCAATTATTGAAAATGAGCTTGCTTAGAATCAGACCCTCAAATCTACATCACTATTTTTTATAAGATTTTTAAAAGTTTTTGTAATTGAGCTAAAAGAGATTTTGTACCATTAGTAATTAAAATATTTTTTAAATTTTGTTTCATCTCTTTCCCATCCTTTGTAATTTCTCTTTTTGTGTAAGTTTTATATGTATTTATTATGTAATAGTATGATGCTGCTTGTTTATAAGTTACAAATGAATGCATATGTATATTGAGCGGATTCTCAAAACATTTTTTTACTCATTAGGTGCGTGATCCCAAAATTTAGGTATCCTTGCTTTAAAAGGGTAATAAGTATTTTTAATTAAAAAAGCAGAATGAGCTGGAATGAAAGGGAACAGAGTTCTATAGATTTATTGCCTATTTTGAGGGTACAACTACTGCATTGTTATATAAGTAATGTCTTATTGCTCAGTCAAGTGGAAAGTGCTAAGCTGAGTGGGCTTTCTGCTATACTTAAGAACACCTAATGTTTATCATTGACCTATTTTTAATAATATCTTATGGCATTTATAATGTTCTTGAAAAACCATGAATAATGCTCTTCAGTTTGGGAAAATATCTGTTTGTCATCTCCCATGAGTCATTTTGTTTCATGAAGTTTCAGTGAAGAAGAACATAACCTGTCTTAGTCAACATTACTCCAGCTCTGTGGTTCTCAGTCTTTCTCTGCCCATCATGTTCACCGCACATTCTCATCAGGAATGTCTCAATTCATCACTGGGGCGTGTATAATCTTAAACACCCTGCCAATGATGGAGAGTGACTTTTAGACTAGTGGATTCTTCCTAGTCTTTCCCTAGGTTCAAGTAAATTGAGAACTCCTGCTGTAAGTCACTTTAAAACAGAAAAAAAAAATCATACTTAATCAGGATTGTGGTTAGTAGTAGACTCCAGTTGCCATCCTCCCATTCACTCACTCCCTGGTTCCAGGGCTGCCTGCTCTCCCTCAGGGCTGTTTATCTGGTGACTAATGCCTTAGTAAAGACCCACTGTATAAACCCAACTTAGCTACTGTTGCCCAATGTTTGCTCGCTTAGTGTTCTTTCTGGGGAACTCGTGGCTTTCGTTTGATTTCCGCACAACTCATGGTTTTCATTTGATTCTAAAAGAACGTCTGAACAAACAGCACACCATTGAATTCGGATTCAACTGTCTTACACTGCTTCCACCATCCTGGTGCCTTCTGCGCCTCATGATGAGTCCAGGTCTCAAACTAAGACTATTAAATCAGAAAAGGCAGAGAATCTGGTCAGCAGATCTAATACTGTTAACTAATTTGTCTTACTTAGACAGCTGGAGTTTAGTAATATTTATGTAAGCGAGAACATTCTTTTGCTCAAAGCTTGGTGATAAATGCAAAGTCCAGGTCTACATGCATGTTGTGTATAGAACATAGACAGGCGTGCTTCCCAGTTTAGAATCCTCCACTTTCTAGGTTTGTAACCTTGGACTTAATTTTCCTGAACCTCAGTTGGCTCATTGGTGATATGTGGATATTAATACCTTCTCTACAAGTTTTTTTCTTTTTTTTGTAAGAATTAAATGAGTTTATGTATGTATATGGTACCTGGCACACAAACAATACTTTGATTACTAGTATGAACACTGTGTTTTTTTTCCATGTTTGTCTTTTCAAACTTATATACTAGGTATTTCCCTTAATCTAAATTTTTATATAAGACTTATATAGGTTATGTATAAGCTATATAGCTTTTATATAAGCTTATATAGCTAATCACTTTATAATTTTTTTGATCTACTAACTCAACAAATATTGAGATGCAAAATGATCAAGACTGTGTGCTGATATTGTGGGAAATACCAGTTTGGAAGTTAATGCAATTACCAAACTTGAAACTAATCCTGAAGCAATTTAGTGGCATTAGTAATAAAGAAGGAAGAGAAATAATTAATCCACTTATGAAGGAATAATTATATTATTTGGAAATGAGTTGGATGTTAGAATGGACTTAGAAAGTGGTGGTACAATTAATGGAATTAAGAAAGCTAGAGAGAAACACTGATTTCCTATGCCTTGATAATGATTTTGTACTTGGAGGTGATATGATAGATGGACATGTAGATAAAACTAGTGATAGGAAATATAGCACTAGAATGTTAGAGTTTGTAATTAGAAAGATCTATTGGGAAGTGCAATAGGAATATGAAGAAGGAACAGGAGATCAGTGCTGAAAAGAGAAATCAAGGTAGACAATGTCATTTGATTTGGCAATTTTCATATAAGGGCTTTGTAAACTTTTGAAGGAAGTATTCCAAAGATGTAGAGGTAGAGAATTGTATTAGTTAAGGTCTTGGCAATAAACAGTACACTCAAAGTGGGTGATTTGAGGAAAGCTTAACAAAGGAGTTATATACAAAGACGAGGGTATGGTTTAAAGAAATCAACAAGGGATGAGGTAGTACTAGCAGCAAGTGGGGAGATGTTACCATCCCTGGGCCTGAAGGGACAAGGAATGGGAGAGGTCACTGGAACCAGGAGAGGGTGGCTATGTGGAGAAAGCCACCTGGCAACCCCTGTGGCCTTTGATAGAGGGTATATCTTACCCATACTCCTCATTCTCCTACTTCCCATCAGTCTCCTGTCAGTGCCTCCCATTGGCCACATCCAACAAAAAATTAAAGACCTAAAAGAGTCCATTGATGTGATCCATACAAGTGATTTTCCTAGGACACAGAGCAGGGTGGAGGATGGATATGGATCTGGAGAAGTAAGCAGGCAATATTCAGGAAAAGGGTAGAAAACAAATGGCTAGTGAGGAAAGGAGGGTTATAAGAAAATGGGAGAATCAACTCACTCATTTGAGAAATCCATTTTTGTAGGAGTAAATTTCTGTATCTTAAAAAAGTTAATAATTATCTCTACCAACCCCCTGCTTTGCAAGATTACTGTAAAGCCTAAACAGGAGAGACATGAAGATTTTATCCTTCATGTGGCAGTTTTTTTCTTTATTGTTGTTAGTCTACCCTGGCATTCTGCATGCAATTACTACTGCTTTGTCTGCTATCCTTATTAAGGAGAACTTAAGCCCCAGTTGCAAATGGTATTATTAATACCTAAAAACAAAAAGTTTAACTTTGAGGTGTGTTTTTTTTAATACATAAAAGAACTGTTTTGTCTTAGCATCTGTTCAGTGTGTGGAACACGAAGAAATTTCTTTTGATTGTTCATATGTGTTAATTTGGCAGATTTATTTATAGTGAATATAAGAAGAAATTGTGTCACTAGTAATTGGCATTAAATGGGCTTATTTCTCACATTGAGAAGTGATCAAAAGTCTTTGCTCACTTTGGGGAAATGTGTTAGCTCATTACAAAGATTTTATTAATGCTCTTCTAGAAGTGGATT